TCTTGTGTGGAGCTCTAAAAGACTCCATAATTGTCCTCATCCCAGTTCTGAATTCTTCCAAAGATTAGATTTATGCTATTCTCTTTCCTGTCCTTTGGTACCAAGTCAGTTTATGCTTTTGTCACTTGGGCTTTATTTTTAATTCCAAATTACCAAGATTCTTAACAGGACTTTTTTGTTTAAATTGCATGCTTGACTATTTAGTTAAACTTGTGCTTGTGTTTGTGTAATTTTTGTAATTTTCTGAAATACAGAAAACAAAATAAAACTTAGCACATGAAAATAGTACATTACAATCGCATCTTCATACAGTGCTCAATTATTCAAATACCCTGAATTTACATTTTTATTTTCACTTTGGTCACTGTAAGAGGTGAGTAGTTGTAACCCAATGGCTTTTTTGTTTAAATGTATAATTTTATTTAACATTATCTACTTTTCAGATCAGCAAATGTGTTACCTTCTGTTTACCAGCAACTAAAATCTGTCTGATGGATCCAAATCTCTTGGAATGAAATAAATATCCCTCGCATAGTTGCATGAACTAATAGAATGGTGTTATCTTCATATTAAGAACTGCTCTTTCATATTAATATGAATAACCTCATTTGTTACTATTGTAAGCCAAAGCAGAGCATTTTCCATTCACATCACTGCTTTCTGTTTCTAAACCTAGGTTTAAACAAAATAATAAAATTCATCATTCCATGAGTTATTTGTAAAATCACATTCTAATCTAAGATACTGCCTAAGAATTCAAAGTAGCCTGCACTTAGACTAAGCTTTACCTCTTCATGTTGTATCATATTGTATTTGTGAGATGCATTGCATGGTTTCACAAGCAAAAAGCCCGTCTTTCTAACTAGAATATTCGGTTATAATAGTTTTCTTTTTCATTATGGGAAAGCTTTATCTAACTTTAATTTGGGAGCTCCTGAAAGATTAACTGATCCCTACTTGTTCAGGTTGTGTTCCATTTGAACCAATGACTACAAAGGGGAGTGATTGGAATCCTTAGGGAAAATGTGCTTTCCCTAAGCTGATTCTTGTCTGCCTTATTGCCTTTGGTTATCCTGCTGCTGCACAAACTTGAGAAATAAAAATATTGGAAAGGATTTGAGTAATAAATAAACCATTGTAAATAGACAATTAAAATCTTTGTCCCCATGTGTGTATTTATTTATATGGACTATAGTCTTAATCACTAATATTTGGCCTTTTGAAATCCTGTGCCACTCAATAGCCAAAAGTTGTCAAATGTGCTCAAGAACTGGTTACCTGGTGCACAGACGGGCCAGTGATAGCTTAGCCATACCTTTTCTTCCCTTGCTTAGAGAAGGACACTATTTCCAATTGATGTTTGTAGTTGACCAGATTTGAGAAATGCTTTGCATGAAATGTATAACATTCTTTTTATAAAGAATGAAAATAAGGTTTACTGTGCTGTTGCAGTTAGTTGTAAATTAATGGGCTGCAACTTAATGGTAACATCTAAATGGCTATTAAGGCCAAATTAAATTATCACTATTTGCACTAATTATAACAATTTGAAGTGTTGCTTACTGCTGTGATTTTTCTATTGTAATTCTCTTGTTTTGTTCTCTTTAGGATGATGGACTGAGGCTGAGGAAGGCAGCTCAGTCAGGCAACCCAGTGTCTTCCACATCTAGTGTTACACTCAGAGACAACGGCTCTACTGCTCTTCCCTCCCTCCTTGTTGTAATTGCAGCCATTTTCATTGGATTCTTTCTAGGAAAATTCGTCTTGTAGAGGAAGCATGCGAGTTGTTGAGGCCTGAAATGTTCTGTTGATCTGCCATATCATTGGTAGTATGGCTCACAGTGACCATGTTTGTGTACAGCATCTTACAGGCCTTGCCTTTAATGATCTCACAGTTAGAACACAAATTACTTTCAGTTCTTGGATAATTGGAGTTGTACATTGTCAAATACATCAATAGCAGCTGTCTCAAGGTTTTACATAAAGGTCCTTGGAAATAATGAGTTGTTCTCTCTGTGGTTTAATAAGAGTTGAATGAAATGTTAAGTGTCTTGTAAATGTTATTTTAATCCTTTTAAATTTTGTTACCTGTTGCTGGATTACCTCTTGAAATTCTTCATTTTATAGTCAGGTTGCTCATGCCACTTGTTTACCAGTGATGAAAGATGTGCTGAAGAAAAGGTGCCTCCTTGTAAATTACAATGCCCCTCCCCCCTCCATTCCTTGCTGCTGAAGGCTGATGAGTTTAAAAATGCAAAGATTTTCCCTAGCTACAGAAACATCTCCCCCCACCGTGAGGCAAATGTTGATTGAAAAATCTCCATTCTTACCAATCCTGTCCCATGGTATTTAACAAAAATAAAATCTTTAACACGTTAAAACTATTGTGTATTTTTTCTGTCTCTCTTATTTTGGCAGGTATACCTCAGTTTCTTGTCTTTGAGCATGTGGAATTTATGGATTTGAATTTATGCCTTTGTTAAAAGTTGCTTTTCTCTCTCATTTTCTCCCCTCCCTGGCAAGTCTTTACTCCATATACTGTTCCTAATAAAAGGTGACCTGCTACTGGTGCTGCTGTCTGATCAGCTGGCACAAGTGGCATGAGTTACCTTGCCCTGTAGTTATTTTTCTTTGTCTTTCATGGAGAAATTATGTCCCACTGTATTGGGAAGAGCCTGTGTTGTACCACATAACACAATCCAAATTAAGGCCATTACCATCCTTTCAAACACTTATGTTCACAAAGTCTACTTATAATGTATACGGCAGTGGTTTTTTTTAAATAATTATGTTTTATGATGTAGATTGTAGAATTATTAATTGATAATTCTACTTGTCTGTAAATTAAGTTTTATATTTTCATCATCATCTGTCATGTTAAATTTGGATAACCAATGTGGTACATCTCCTATTCATGTATAGTTACTATATAGCAAACAGAATGCACTCAATAAAGTGCCTATTGCCCTTGAACAAGCAAGAGTTGTGGTACAATATGTTGAACAATATGAAGGAAGGCTATTATGAGTATAGCTGTGGTGAATTGTGAAGAGACATTGCCGGCATATTTGTCTGATAGTGAAAAGAATTATGATTCTCTGCTTGATTCCACACTTCTGTTTAACACCATCCTGTTGATCTGGAAAACTTTCCCCATGTTGACAGATTGTGCAGTCATCTTTGCACATCTTTGCACATCTTTGTCCCTGCCAACAGTCTCTCATCCTCAAATCTACCACCTCAATCACACCAAATCCAGGTACTTAACCCATTGTTGCTTCTGTGTCTCACTTTTCCAGCACTACTGAACACTAGGCATGCTTTCCTATTGCTGATAGACCATAATCATGTTTCAGTACTGAGACCCCAGTGTTCTTTCTCCCCTCCCTGGTAAATTTTGAAATTTCACAGGACTGCGAAGATTATGTTTTCATTCTGTAGTCCTGTTATACTCCCAAGACCACTTGGTGAAATGCTACTAATCATACTGAACCATCCCGCAAGATCTTTCGCAAATATCTAAATGCCAGGTATCTACCTCTAATCTGGCTCTCTTGTTTACTGTAATTCTGTACTTTGAGCAAAAAATAAAGATAACTAACGTAAATTAAAGAAACTGCCTTGGAAAATCCACTAAGATAAAAATTAACAAACATTTCATTGAGAAATTAAGATTGCAAACTCAATTTCTAGTGACTTTTGCACAAGTTTTTAATCTTTTGATATGCAATTTAAGCAGCCTTTTAATATTGAAACTGTCTTGCATTTTTGTCATATCTATTCAACTACATAATCCTGGCTGTTCAAGTACATTATTACTGCTGTCCCTGATGCTGCTTCTCTGAAATGACTAGTCACATTTATTCCTAAAGTTTAGCTATAATTTACATTGGCACAGTGGGTTCAGTAGCCTGAAGTCTGTCCTGTTTGATTCTAGGATAATTTCAGTCAATGCCGTGTTGTGACTAGTATGACTACCTAAGCATGGGAGTTTGGATATTCTCTGGTTTAATTTACTTTAGTGGTGTCCTTCCACATGACTGGTAGTCTGTGTAATTTTGGGTACAGAAGGAAGAGATTTTTCCTTTTGAATGAATTCACTATCTATTCTGGGCATCTATTCTAACTGCCTGGTTAGAGATAATTTATGGACCATTGATAGAGCTGCTATAAATCTGTTTGCTTTTCTTGTTCAAAATTTCAGTCCCTTCCAATTCCCTCATTGGTACTCTGGCTGCTTGTATCCCTTTGCTATCTAGAGCAAATAGCAATTTTGAGAGCTCAGGGGAGGATTAGCATGCTATTTAACTGGCATCCCAGTTGAGTCCAGTCCTGTTCTTTGGTTGCATGTGCACGTTGCCACAGAGGCTACTGGGCACTAATTGGGAGCAGAAACTCAGGCTAATGTTTTCTGTCTTTTTTTCCCCCTTTCTCCTCATCACTCTCACATTGGGGCTAATTGTACTTGTTGCAATCACAGCTCGGCAAGCTCAGTGCACATCAGAAATTGACTGCTGACTTTTGACCTATATGACACAATACTTCATTAAATTCATGGAACCATTAGCCATTTAGCTTCTGACCGCTTGCACCATCCACATAAAAGCTGTCTGACATTTGATCTTTTGTCTGAATAGCTAATGGACAAGGCAATGTTGGGAGAGCAATAACCTCTCTTTCAGACTGGAAAGTGAAATGAGGTTCTAGCTATTTTTATATCCAAAGACCTATTGTCAAGCGTTGAATTGGATGACGACAGTCAGATTTTGATTTGATGGTCCCTTCCTAACTATTTTTTCTCTATTGGTAGTTTTTGAATAAGTGTAACTGCTGGAAAAATGTTCCATTCAGCAGGTGTTACTAAGACCGTAAGACTAAGGAGCAAAAGTAGGTCATTCAGCCTCTCGAGTCTGCTCTGCCATTCAGTGAAATCATGGATGATCTGATTATTGTTAACTCCACTTTCCTGTCTTTTCTACATAACCCTTCATTCCCTTATTAAAAATAAAGATGAAAAGCTCTTGAGAACATTGGTTTTGTGAAACAAAATGGTGATTGCCAATTTAGGAGTCAATAACAATCAAGATGATTACCCAATCAGTCACTTAAGAGACCATCTAAGATGAAGAAATTTGAATTTGGTTTGCTGTAGAGAGGGATTCTGAACAGTAGTTCTCTGTCTGTTGAATAGTAGCAATCTTTAGAGCAAGTTCCGATATTCAATAATTGGAAGTTTTACTCCCCCACCTCACCACACACACGTGTACACACTGGTGAAGACCAGATATTGTCAGACTATAGTCAAAGACAACTGAATGGAGATCAACGATGGAAGAAGTGAAAACGAATTTGAAAAGAAAGTTGAAAGCTGTGCTTCAGCCTCAGTGATCAGACCTTTGCAGTCTTGCTGACCTTGAGAGGAAATGACATTGGATTAGATTTAATTCAGAATGTGGTCTAGAGATGGTAGGTGATAACATGACGTTGAAGGTCCTATGTCTCATAAGCTATGATATATATTTTATGTGGAATATAACATCATCTAATAAAATAACCAATTCAAATTTGGATAGTCTAGTTCCTGTTCCTATTCCATATTCAATCGTGTCTTTAATGTGTTGTTAGCTTCTAAAGTATACTCCATTACTGAATAATTCAAAATAATGTGTTTAGAACCAACTAAATGCTATTTTTAAATTCCACTGCATACACTATATAATGTGATACTGTTTTTACTTTGTTGTAAGACAGTTATAACTATTTGATTTTTGTGTTGCTAAATCAACTTCTCGTGCAATAATTGACGTGCTTGAGTGATATACTATAAAATGTCCCATAGATTTGATTTACTCTGTTTCAGCCGCTGTACTTTTAAAAACAAAATTGTAGTTGCTTTAAGTGTTTAATTAAATTTTGGCCATGTAAGTATAGTAAACAGTTTATGTATTAGTTTCTTGTTATTACTGTGTAATCTCTGGCAGTAACCAGCTGCTGTCCAGTTGCAGGCAATTACATGTACTACACATTCAAAAGTAAGTTAATTATTTTAAAAAGTTTGTGGTTTAAGTTTGACTTTAAAGACACCAATAAAAAGTCAAGATAACCCAAATGTCAGCATTTTTTCCTTCTAACTTTTATACACAGTGCATTTGCAGAAAGCAAGCAATGTTATTCCCCTAGTATTTGACATTAGGTGAAACACTAGTATATGAATGATATATGCACACAGTTTTTATGCAGTGCGATGCAAGGTAGAAAATATTGGTTTGACTGCCTGTAATCTGATAGATCTCTTGACAGCTTCTGTTCAACACCATTGAACACAAATTTACATCATGTGCCATGGTTTAAATATTAATGTGTCATAACTTGTTAAGAAATTTGTTACGTTCAAGTTAGAATTTTGTGAGTAAACCAGTATTCAAGGAGATGCTAGCAAAAGCTACACAAAAACATTTGGTTAAGCAATTTCTTGAGTGTATTTATGCTATAGATTTTTCTCAATTTGGTGCTTTTAATACCAATTCTCTCCTGTATTTAAGCAAAAATGACCATTCTTCAGAATGCTACCACCCTTTAACTCGAGAAAATATTCAGTTGTTTCCATAATGAATTTCATAAACCAAACTATTTATATACAGTTTTAAAAGAACTCCACCCACCAGAAGCATGAAAAATTTTGTTCCTGTTCTCATAAATATGACTTTTTTCTTAAAAAGCTGTCATCTGTGGTGGTCTCTGAAATATGCTGGCTGACATAATTTCCAGTAGTACAGCTATATTGTAATTAGTCATTTTACATATTATGACAGCCTTTTGATATTCCAATATGTTAACTATATGTTATCACTGAGGCTTTAGTGTTTGTTTAAAAATTGCAGTGTAGCCATACATAATCTGACACAGACCTAACATTGTGACTGAACTTTATTTGGGGATTGGCTCTTGTTTTGGAGTTCAAGTTTTCTTTGCAGCAATTCCCTCTGTTTGGTTTTAAAATTACGTCTGTTTTGTCATGGTAGTTTATGTCACTGTGTTGCCCTTGACAGCATATTAACACTTGGCTGATTGTGGCATCCCAGAATCCTTTTAAGACTGAAGTCACTGGGAGCTGGGGATTCCTGGCTGAAGTCGTACACAGTGTGAATAGAGGTGGTGGCTCATTGAGGGAAGTCCATCATCTCGGATGCAGGGCCTAAATGTAGAAATTTAGATTGATGGAGATATACAGCACAGAAACAGATCCTTCAGCCCAACTTGTCCGTGCCACCCAGGTTTCCTAAACTGAATTAGTCCCAATTTTCTGTTTTTGGCCCATATTGCTCTAAAACTTTCCTATCTATGTACTTGTTAAATGTAATTGTACCCACCTCTACCACTTCCTTTGGCAACTTGTTCCATATGCGCACCACCTTCTGTGTGAAAAAGTTGCTCTAAGGTCCCTTTTAAATTTTGTCTCTGTAACCTTTTTCAGGGCAGTGCCTTAGGTTCAGCTATCTTCAACTGCTTCATCAATCACCTTCCTTCCATAATGTGAGGATTTGGGGATGGTGATGGTGACTACAGTGTTCAATTCCTTATGAATCTCCCAAGACAAATGAGCAGTGCATACCTGTACGTGCCCAAGTGACATTCATGTTTGAATTGACAAATGGCATTTGTGCCATGGATGTGAAATTATGACAATTTCTATCGAGAGAGGTTCTTATTACCAGCTCACTGCCACCTCAAAGGTGATTAGAGATGGCCAATTAATGTTGCATTTGCTGGTAACATCACATCACTTGAGTTTAAAATATCAAGGGCTATTGAAGGTGGAGGTAAGATTTAAAACCAAGTAACCTCCATGTATCATTAGAGTTTTATTAAGTTTGTAGTCAACAATTTGTAAAATTAGGTAGGAATTTTGTGGCTTTTAGTGCCCTTATTCCCAACTGCAGTCAATCAATTAATTTTAATTTAAATGAAAACCCATCCATTTATTTGTATATTGTTCACAGAAAATACTAAGTTGTAATTATACTTTAATTATGTGTTTTATGGTAAAATTTATACTCCAGTTTTATTGATTTTAATACAAATTCCACCACTTGCTCTAGAGGTATTTAAACCCATGTTTCCAGAGCATTAGAAACAGAAAACAGAATGGAAAAGCTCAGGTGCAGCATTTGTGAAGAGAAATCAAAGTTAACATTTCTAGTTTTCTCAGAGCATTAGCCTGGCGACAGTAAGGAGTGCAGATGCTGGAAGCTAGAGTCAATAAATGTGGAGCTGGAAAAGCACAGCAGGTCAGACAGCATCTAAGGAGCAGGGAAGTCAATATTTCGGGCTGTCTTCCTTTCAATTAAGAAATAAAATCTCGATTTGAAAGCTTGTCTCAGGACCATGAAGCTATTGTCACTTGTCATTTTAAAAACAAATGTCCACTCATCAATTAGTGCAGAAAATCTGCCATCCTTACCTGCTCTGGCCTACGTGTAACTCCACATTCATAATCATATGTTTGACATTTTATCTGCACCCTGGAGTGGTCTGATGGTCTGGTGAGCTGCTGAGTTCAAGTACAATCTAGGATTGCGGTGCTCACATGAAAGAATGAATTTTAAAAATTCAAATTTGTGGTTCCTTTGTAAAACTAATATTGCATGTCAATAGAATACCAATTTCTCAATGTCATTTGACCTACATGCACAAAGCACAGAAATTGCAATGTTTCTTTAGCTTTCTCCGACAGGTTTAGATAGAGGATCTGGATCGGCGCAGGCTTGGAGGGCTGAAGGGCCTGTTCCTGTGCTGTAATTTTCTTTGTTCTTCGTTCCACCTTGCCCATATTCTGCAAAATTATTCATAACCAGATGTTTTCATAAATGAAAGCAGCTAGCTGAGGGAGAAAGTTGACTACGTACCTAAGCCAAGAAAGGACAGAGTAACAGTCGATAACTGAGAGTGATTTTAAACTGTATAAGTGCAAAGGGGATGACAGCTGATCTTCCATGCACACAGAAGATAGTCTGATGTGTATATAGTCAGACACCATGACTTTTTTAACCCCCAGGAACTACGAAGGTGCAATTCAAGTCTGACCAGGTGTCTTGCTGATGAATGGCATTCTGAATGCAATCGCCTTTAATTTTAACCTGTTTCCTCGTGAGGGTCCATCTTTCAGACGTACTTGAATATGTCGATATCATTGGAGAGTAATTATTGACCATAATGTTCTATAAAGGTGATAGCAAAATATCTGGTATGTCAGATACCTTTAATAGAGCTGTTCCCAAACTCTGGGCTGAACAAAGAAATGGGCTCAAAAAATGAAATCACATTGCGATCCTGCCCCCTGCTATTGCCCTGGTCTGGGGACTAAGTGAGACAAATCATAAGGAATCCCCCTATTGTACACTTTGGCTGTGGTGGCTCTGATCAGGTGTACTTTGGTGTAATGAAGCTTTGTCAATACATCAAAGCTTTCCTGGAGTGGCTTCTTGAAGCAATGGGTGGCACGGTGGCTCAGTGGTTAGCACTGCTGCCTCATAGCGCCAGGGACCCAGGTTCAATTCCAGTCTCCGGCAACTGTCTGTGTAGAGTTTGCATATTCTCCCAGTGTCTGTGCGGGTTTCCTCCGGGTGCTCCAGTTTCCTCCCACAGTCCAAAGATGTGCAGGGTAGGTGGATTGGCCATGCTAAATTGCCCGCAGTGCCCAAGGATGTTTAGGTTAGGTGGGTTAGACATGGGGAAATCAGGGATAAGGGAATGGGTCTGGGTGGGATGCTCTTTGGAGGGGCGGTGTGGACTTGTTGGGCCAAATGGTCTGTTTCCACACTATGATTCAATATTTATGAAAGCAGATTCAAATTTAATGGTTTGGTAGCGTTTCACTCACCAAGAGCCTAGGATTTTCAGACTTTCATATTTATATGTATATAATATGTTGATCCATAATGCGTAAACTGTAGTCTCATATTGAATTTTGCAATGCAGCTTAGTTTTTGTTACTATGGATTTGCATTAATTTTCAAGTTTTAAAATCGTGTCATATTAAAAAAAAATTTGGGAACACTGCTGCAAGATAAATTGGTTCCTGAGGCAGTTAGAATACTACTCAAAATACTCTCACTGGACATTTCCAAAGTAGGGCAGGAAGAAACCTAGATCAAGTGAGGTGAGACTAGGAAAGTCATTTCAATGAACATCATCAAGCAGTCTGGAGAACTAGAGAAAACCTCTTGGCTTCTGAGCTTTTGTGACTCAGTATATTAGAGAAGCCAGGTTTCTTAACCTGCTTCGGAATGGTCTCAAATAAAAAAAACACACACGTGAGTTGTAGGCTTGCTGGACTTTTTTTTTTAAGAATTGTTTTGTGGGATGTGGGCATTGCTAGTCAGAGGGTGGTGAATCTATTGAAGTCATTACCAAAGAAGACTGCGAAGGCCAAGTTGTTGAGACTATTTAAGATAGAGGTAGATAGATTCTTGACTGGGAAGGGAATGAAAGGTTAGAGGGAGAGGGCAGGAGAATGGGGTTAAGAAACATATCAGCCATGATCGAATGGTGGAACAGACTCAATGGGCTGAATGGCCTAATTCTGCTCCTATATCTTATGGTCTTATGTTTTCCACCCCTAACTGCCCTTGAAATCAATGACTTGTTAGGCCATTTCAGAAGGCACCCGCATTGCTGTGGGTTTGGAGTCACAGGTAGATCAATGAGTTAAAGATGAGAGATTTGTTTTCCTGAAGGACATTAATGAACCTGATGGATTATTATAACAATTGATAAATGAATTGTCACCATTACCATCATTGACATTAGCTGGTCATTTCCATATTTTAATAATTTAATATTTAATTACACCAGATTCTATGGTGGGATTTGACCCAGGGCATTTCTTTAGATCATTGGTTTGAGTTTGTCAGTTGCCAGTGGCGTGATTAGTACATCACTACCTCTCCATTAGAGATGCAACTCTCCTTACCCTAACTTTTACAATGATCTAGACAGATCATGTTTGGAAATTGCAGGTTCATTGTGGAGAGATGAGAAGTGTAGCAATCGACCAGTGCTTTAAGTTTAACATGAGGTGGGATTCTGACATGCCAAAAACCTCATGCT